ATTTTTTTGGTTTTTCTCTGGTACCGGGAACCGAACTCACGACCTTGTGCTTGCCAGGCAGGCGCTTTTGCCGCTGAGCTAAATCCCCAGCCCCAAAAGTTGACAATATTAAATAGGGCCGGGGATGTAGCTCAGTGGCACAGCACCTGCCTGGTAAACTTGAGGCCCTGAGTTAGATTCTCAGTACTACCAAAAAAAAAAAAAAAGAAGTTAGTATAGAGTGGAACCTCAGTTCATGAATTTAATTTGTTCCACAATTCTGGAAAAGATAGCCACACTGTCTTTTCATACAGGGAAGATGGCTATAGTTTATTTGTCACCTAGTAAGAGTTTGCAAAGAAAAACAGAATTTTACCAAATGTTTCTGTTTGCAAACCAAATTGTTTGCAAACAAAAGTATTTGTGAACCAAAGTACTTCTGTGTATAAGGAAAAAAAAAAAAACTTATGCTGAAGACTTTACCTGTCTAGTAGGTTGCCATTTCTCAAAACTGGTCAGTATGTAGCATCTTTGACTTTCAAGGAGGGTAGTAACAGGAAGATTAGAAATGTATATTTTGACTCCTGCTAAATCATTCATTTATATTAAAACAAGGTATTTGGAGCTGGGCATGGTGGTGTGAGGCTGTAATCCCAGCACTCCAGAGGCTGAGGCAGGAGGATCATTGTGAGTTCAAGACCAGCCTGGGCTACATACTGAGTTCAAGGCCAGCTTGAATTGCATAGTGAGACCCTATCTCAAAAAGACAATAAATAAATAAATAAATAAAACAAGGTTGAGGAACTGCGCACTGTGCTTTGACAGCGTCTTTTTCATAACGGCCAGTAAGTATTTACTGAGAAGGAAAAGGACAGCAAGAGAGAAACACAGAAGGGGAAAATGAGGCAAGCAAGAGTGTTAATACGTCACTCCAAAGCTTAAAACCACTGACTAGATTCTCACTGAGTTTAGAATAAAATCCAAGTTGTTTACAGTGACCTCCATGTGGTGCACCCCCAATTCCCTCTACACACCACCCCTCCTTTGCTGACTGTGCCCGAGACACAGTGGGCTGCCTAGGACACTTTCTCCGTTTCCCCTTTGCACCTGTCACCCCCTCATCCACAGCGCTCTGTGTCCATCTCTGGACCTAATGGCTTCTCTCCAGGGCTCAAGTCTCGGTTACAATTCCTCCCTCTCAGGCATGTTTTCCCTGAACATCAGCCTAAGTAAGTTTTCTCCATGAATGACTTCTTATAACACTGCTTTTCATTTCTTTCATGGTAGTTTTCAGCGAGGTTATGTCTTGTTTACTGCCAACACCTGAACTGAGTGTTCTGCATACAGCAGACATAAATATAAAGTTCAAGTAACTACATGAACTGTCTGTTTCAGAGAGATTTGCCTCAAGGTCCAAAAATGGAACTCATTTGATGCTTGCTACACATAGCTCCAAATCTGTGAATCTCTCTGCTTATGAAAATTTGCAGTACAGGGCCAGGAATATAGCTCAGTGGCATAAGCGCCTGCCTGGCAAGCACAAGGTCCTGAGTTCAATTACTGGTATCAAAAAAAAAAAAAAAAAAGGAAAAAGAAAATTTGCAGTAGAAAGTTAAGAACACTCAAGGAACTTTTAGAATCTTTCATAGACATGTAACATGTCAAAGTTTCTAAATGTGTACATTCCCAGCTAAGGCTGAATAAGGCAATGCTTTGGCCTTCATTTCAGATCTCATTCCATAAACGCATAGCTTTCTGGTGGTCTATTTTGCGCCATGTTTTTATCATTTTTCTGCTTTTTGTTGATGATTTCACTGTTTCAATGGCCTTCATATAGTGCTACAGCACTCTCTAGCGTTCCTAAATGTGAAAGGCTATGCCTCACAAACTGAGAAGTCATAGGCAGGCGTCTGTTCATGGCAAGTTCAAAGTCAATAAATCCACTATATTTTTAAAATAAGGTGTCTTTAAACAGAAACACACATATACCTAGGTATTGATTGGTTGAGAGAAACATTGTGATCAGAGGATCACAGGAATCTAGCTCTGTATTTCCCCTAGGAGAAAAGGTTTAGAAATCACTAATTCAGTAAACTTACTTTCCAAGCTTTTGCTTTAGTAAGTGCAAATATAGACTCAGAAACATGTTGCTGAGTTGTAAACTACCCTTAAAGGGCCAGACGCGGCGGCACACGCCTGTAATCCCAGCACTCAGGAGGCGGAGGCAGGAGGATCGCTGAAAGTTCAAGGCCAGCCTGGGCTACAAAGTGAGTTCAAGGCCAGCCTGAACTACATGGTGAAACCCTGTCTCAAAAAGATGGGGAAAAAAAAAGCACTACATCATCATCACTTTCTCTCCCTAAATTGGTTCCTTTTCTGAAAAAATACCATTGCAGACCAACTTGTACATGTCACCCTCTGAAATGTACCTGTCACTTCCTCTTTTCCATGTAGCCAAATAAAGCTTCACTCTACACCAGTGATGGTGAACCTTTTAGAGCTTCAGTGACAACAAACAGTCCACTGTGGCACACATGCCGCGGGTTCACCACATTCTATAAGCGCTTACCTTGGCCAAGTCAAAAGGTGTTTTGACATCTACGGTTGTGTCAGGTTCAGCAATGGCAGGAACTTCCTGTTTGTTTCTTCCTTTCCGCCTACCCCGCTTTAGCTGGTCTCCTGATCTCTGCCCATCCAAAGTTTCTTTCAGGAATAATGCACACACAGATACAGATTGATAATAGCAAGATGCATTAACAAACTTCTACAGCTAATAAAAACAATGCTTAATATTTACAGTCAAGAGAGCAAGTCAAGCAGAATTCCTTTCAACCCAGAATTAATTTAAACCATTATTTTTAAGACTGTAGCCAATAATTCAAATAAATGCTACAGGCATTAAAATCTGATATTTTGGATTACATAATAATTACATAATAATAATTACGCTTGATCTTAGCCAAAAGGCTGAGAAGCGATGAACATGTCTTATTAAAATTAAATATTGAATGACTTAAATCATTCAGTTTGGTGTCCTTTGTACTGCTTACATAGACCCCTCTAGGTGTTATTCATTCTATAATCAGTCAACATTTTACTTCCATCCAGTATCCACATAACTTAAAAATGTGTTTTTCTCAAAAAAATTATTATTTTGTGGTGCTGGGTATTGACCTCAGGAGCTTCACAGATGCTGCACAAGAGTTCTACCAGTAGACTATATTCATATACCCTGAAAAAATTTCTTTAATTCATGTATGTAGGTTTTTCAAATTATTTTGAAGTTACACATCTAAAAAGCTATTTTTGTGATATTCACTAAGTTAAAAATGTCTGAACTAGACAGATATGGTGACACATTCCTGTAACCCCAGCTACAAGATGGTTTAGGAAAGAGAATTAAAAATTCAAGTCCAACTCGAGCACCTTAGCAAGGCCCTCTTTCCAAAATAAATTTAAAAAAGAAGCCGGGCATGGTGATGCACACCTATAAGAAAACTCAGCACCCCTGGTAGGCTGAGTCAGAAGGACTGCAAGTTCAAATCCAGCCTGAGCAGCTTAACGAGACCCTGTCTCAAAATAAATAATTATAGTTGAGTGAACAAGCAGCTCAGTGAGAAGGCCCTGGATTCAACCTCTAGTACCACAATAAATAAATAAATAAGTATGAGCTAGAGATGTAGTACAGCAGTAGCTCATTTGCCTAGCATGCACAAGGCCCTGGACCCAATCTCCAAGTCCTTTAAATCTGCTCATTAACAGTAATATTTAAACATTTATCTACTTTATTAATATTTAAACATTTATCTACTTGTATTAACTTACCATCTTTTTTGAAGCACTGCTGCAAAGGATCAGAAACGAATTCCTGGTCATTCATTTGCCATTTGGTTATAAGATCTTCTATGAATTGGCCTTTCTTGCCCTCGTTTCCCTGGAGGAGGTCAGTCACATATTCCCGGATCTCTTCGGCACTCTCAATGGACAAAATGTACCTCAGGAAGCAAAGATGCAAATTGTTGAAAGAAGGATAGTTTATGCTGTTTTTCAGTAATTATAACAGAATCAAAGTGGTAAAAACTATTAGCACCAGGATGTAGCTTAGTGGTAGAGCACCTGGCTAGCACATGTGAGCTCTTGGGTTCAGTCCCAGCATCACAAGTCAAAAATCATTAATCTGTTAGCGCACTGACACTGAGCCAAGTACTATGCTAGATGCTAGCAATATAAATTTGATTAAAAGACCCTGATTTCAAGTAGCCCGTAACCTAACCTTCAGCTATATTTAGCCATTTACAGTTTTTCTGTATTTTTAGAATCAAATCAGCCTTGTGAAAGGTTGCAGAGCTATTCTTAACACGTGAATAAAGTACATCCTCCAGCTACACATCTGCAGTCTTCATCTTTCCCTGGAAACAATACAAATTACTTAATCTCCATATTATAAAATCTAATATTTCTCTTATTTTTATTAGAGATATATATATCACAACCTAATCAGTTAGTAAGTCAACATTCTTCTTGTTCTGTTTTTTGTTTTGTTTTTTGAGACAGGGTCTCGCCATGTAGTGCAGGATGCCCTTGATCTCATTTAGGTAGCCCAGGCTGGCCTCAAACTCACGGCAATCCTACTGCCTCAGCCTTACCGTGTGCCACCATGCCCAGTTAGTAATTCAACATTCTTAAAAGCTATAAATCAAGATTAGTGTCACAACAGAAAAAGCAGATCTATTTTAAGGAAATGTTACAAAGGGTTCCTTAAAATGACAGTGACCAAAAGTATAAATTAGTACACCCTTTGTAGAAATTAACTAGCCTATGAATTTCAAGTGCTTTAAAATGATCCAATAATTCTCCTTGAAGGACAACAAGTAAAAAAAAAAAAAAAAAAAAAAAAAAA